GGAAAACTATCTCATATACTCTACATGTTTCAATGTAAATCTTGCATCATCCTCAGGAGTGTAATGTTTTGCAAAAAATAACTCCTATTTATACAGTTATCAAAACACCAATTTACATATTAACAAACTTCATGCCATCTACTGACAACATTTCCATCAAGTCCATTATCCTTATTCAATAATTTAAATTTACTTTTTTACATGAGATTGTTTTCCGGTCACATCGGGATTTTACCACTCTTTAACCTTGTACAGTAAGTTATTATTTTAGTAATTTGGAGACTGGAAACAACATCATTTTATTGAAGTATGTATAAAATAATCATTGTTTTTTAAATAAAATATCTTAGTTTTCAAAACTGAACATTAAACATGTGCCAAAAAAAAATTTTTGAAAAAGAAAAAAAAGCTGATTCTATAATCAAATGGACACAGAGTCCTTTGAGATGTAGTCAATTTAACCCTTTCACAACATGTAGGTCAAAGTGCAGATGTCAAAACCTTTTAGAGTTACATTGAAAATTTAATTAAACTACTTTGTCATCAATGTATATGAATAAACTTGGCATCAATATGGAGTTAATACATATTCCCTCTTCTTCAGTTTAGTTACCACCCCTCTGAGAAGTACAGAATTTCACATAAATTACTCATTATAATGTAGATATTACTCAGGCAAAGCACAATTTTATAGTTTTGAGTTTTGTATGTGACAAATAGATTATTATGCAAGATCTGATAGTAGAGTAACATGAATACCATTTAATATATGTATTATACAGTTTTATTTGAAGAAAAAATTTCATATATTATTTTTAGATATTCAATGTAAAGTTTATTAAAAATCTTATTTTTCTCTAATTCAGATTAACATTAGACTATGTTTTGATCATTGGTCATGTCAGTGACTCTAATTTTGGCTATAGACGAGTATGTTATTAATAAAAACATTCCATGAAGTGATATCTGAAGTTTTAATAATTTACTTCTCTACTATCACAAGCTATAAAAGTACAAAAAAATCTATGTTAACTGTTTTACAGCCTAGACTCTACAGTGAAATATTTCTCAGTGTTACATGAACCTCTAATAAGAAGAACATATTAACTTGGGTGCATAGTCTGGCTTGTGTTTAATATAACTGTGCATATTACTAACTTTTACCATTTGGCTGTAAAATGTACAATTTCATTAGTTGTTTTTTAACACTGCATACCGAATCACAATTAACCACAGTGGTGATGTGGTTTGAACTGTGCTGAAAGTTAAACATATTTAAAACTTGTTAACAAAGCAGTGAAAGTGTACATAATGTTTTTAAACCATTCAACTTATACAAGAAAGATTAATTCAATTAAAACACCAAGAGGGTGTAATTCTGTTCCTGTATGATTTAACAAAAATAAATAGCACAAGTTCAAGATACAGTAGAAATCACAGCATGGACCTTGACATTGATCTCACAAATAAAGTTTCAACTGAGATAAATTAATGATGTTCAGCTCAGTAAAGACCCCTATTTATGCAATGGAGTACTTAGCAGAGAATAAAATTATTTCTCTGTTCCCAAGTGTACACAATACACTGAGAATTCTTCTGTCATTGCCAGTCCTGATTGTTAGTGCTTTTCAAAACTTGAACTAATCAAAACTTAATTGAATTCTGTAATAACAAAGGAGTATACAGTTGGTATTTCCATCATATCCATTGAGCATCAAATGACTCAATAATTGGACTTGACAGAGCTTGTTTAAAATTTCATGCCATAAAAAGCATGAAAAATGAATTTATTAATTTTGTTGTTATGTAAGTGTTGCACTCAAAATTTTAAATGTGACTTCTATTGGAAATTTCGAACTTAAATTAATCTGTTTTGCATATAATAATATATGCACATGCCATACCATGGAAACTAGTACGTCCTTCAGGCCTTAGTGCAGAATGTTTGAAAAGGGTGTTCTAATTTGTGAGATCAAAAGCCAACATATACTGTGCAAAGCATGCCAATGCTACAGTGGTCAGGGGGCAAGCAATTTATATAAAATATAGCTTAAACAATTGCATGGCTGTTCACATATAATCTACAAACATCCAATGAAAATTTAGCAAATCATCATTCTGTTGTAACACTCACTGCATGGGGAACTAGACTGAAATTAGCATAAATATGTATGTTTTTTATAGTAAGTACTGTACTATCTACATACATGTAGTTATTAATTGTTAAATTATATTACTAATTTAAACAACTCTGTACAACAATAGTATATTAGCTATTTCAATCATAGGATATTGTTTATGTACATGTATCCACTACGGAAATAATATGTTAGCATGCTCCATTCTTCTGAGGCATTTTCCCATAAATAACTTAAAAACAGTTTCAAAGTTGATAGCAGTATCATAATGATTATGCATTAGAGCTAAAGCACTCAGTCTTTCTTCAGCTTGTGTACATCTCAGGTAATTATTCAACCAGCAGAGAGAAGATGCCAAACATTCACATGGTTGTTATATTGTTGCATCTTGTTAATAGAACTTTCTGAAGTTTTCTTATTGTTTTAATTTAGTATTATTGCATCAGAATATCTAGTATTGCATTGGAATGTTCTAGATTTCTGTCAGGGTATAAATACACATTAAAAGATTATTATTTAGATCTATGTATATGTGAGTTTAGCAATAATGAGCATATAGTGGCAAATTGTCACAGATTTTATTGTAATAACAGTGCAGAGAAGAATAACTCATCTGGTCATTTGTGTTCTAAAGTAATTGAATCAGCCTGTGTGAATTTTGATTAAAACAAAAAGAGATAATTATTTAAAGCTCTGAATACAACTCTGATATCCAACAGTGTAATGAACGTTTGTACACACATTTAACCTGTTTTAATATATTATTTTAAAACATGTAGACTGTGTTGCTGTTTGTTTGTTGTTGAAATTTATTGCAAACAAATCACAGATACATACTGTTACGTCTCCGTTTGTTAATTAACTTTCCGTAACTTCGTTCTGACGAAACTTTAGAGACACAAGTCCTTACTTAATAAAACTGGTTTATTCTTTCTGAATATAACTTCACGATACACTTATTTTCAACAGTCGCTCTTTTACAAACGTTTTAACAATGAATGTTAACTTCAACAATACATCTCTCTCTGACTGCAGTTCAATTACTCATTACCTACACACACACACACATTATTCGGTCACGTTGTCACCCTCTTTTGTATACCAGACTACCCTATATCTAGTAAATGCTAGAGCATTTGACAAGGTACAGGATAGTTCTAGAAACGTGGCGTGATACTAGTCATGTGACCTCCCTGACGCAACACTGCCCCCTCCTTAATATTGTTCATCCCGAGCAATAACCACTTACAATAAACCAATAACAATTAACAATAACTTAATTAAATGTACAGAATTACAATCACAAAATTACAATTCAACAAAGTCGCTTAATTTTAT